CTTGAGATCCTTGTTCAAACCCCACAGCCAGAAGAGTCAGAGACCTATGTAGCAGGAAAGGCTACTCAGAATGCCTTTTGGGTCTTATAGTGGCAACAGCAATATCAATGAGAAGCACATGTGTGGTTGTTCTGACTAACTTGCCCACTTTCTCCCTTCCTCTTTCCCTCCCTCTGTCCCTTTCCTCCTTCCTTCTCATTACTCCATGTCAGTACAGAAATTAAAGGTCAAGGATACAGAACTCTGGTGAGAACTGACTTGCTAAACTCTAATGCTTCTCAAACTCAGCTGTATTTTATAATCATTTGAGACACAATGAAAACTCTGTGATACTGCATATGCCTGAAAGACTCTGTTTGGAAAGCTCCTAAGAACTGTCAACAAAATATGAGACAGAAATAAGAACAGAACTACGGATAAAGCCATTAACAGTGGCAGCCACCTGTAGAAGCTGGTGCAATCAGTGACACAGACAACCCTTTCATTTTCTCTATTGTTCTCTTGAGCAGTTGTCACTTGCACAAGACATATGGGTTACTCTAGTCACGCTAACCCATGTTTAACTTCTACACTTAGACTCTGGCAAAATTTAGCACATTTGTCTGCAGACAAAAAGACAGTATGTGGAAATTGTGATATGAAGTCTTCAAAAAACACTTTTATTTTCAAACCCTTGCATTTGAGGGACATCACTATCAAGGATCCCTTCCATGACAATATCACGAGGAACCAAATCAAGGACTTGTGAAGGAATGGGCATGTTAGTTTGTCATTCATGAAAGGTTGCTTTATTCAATACTTTCTGCTATTCTGTTGGAACTCATGGTTGACCCACAACAGAAATAGAAAAAGTCTAATAATATAAATAGAAACCTACTATACTACACACACATACACACACATAAAAGCACACACGGAGGCTTTTTTCAGCACAAATCTAATTTGTTAAGCAAATATTAAAAAAAATAAGAATACTTCAACAATTCATATGATCAGGTATATTTGGTAGCAGTGTAAAGATATAGGAATATTGCTAAATATCCCAGATATAACGTGATGGGTTTTTATCACCAGGACTATCCTTCAGAAAAAAATGGAGCTTCCTGGAAACAAAATATTTGCAAATCTTGTATTACAAGTTGCTCTCTATTTTCCACAGGAAAGTTTCATTAACGTGAAATACTCTGAATCAATGCTTATTTTAGATAATCTATAGAGACTATTTTATAGAATCACTAAAAGAGGAGGCAATGACATTTTATATAGATTTTGCTTTTGTGCCTGAGGATTTGACCTCATAATTGTAGATGTCACTCTAAACATGACTCTTAAAGATCTTAAAGAGCAGTACAATAAGTTGTTACATAGTGGAAATCATTATTATAATCCTGCAGGATGAATGCACAACAAAAAACTGTCCTACTGCTATAAAAATTCAGTTGATTGAAACTGATTTCTCATTGACAGTATATTATACTTTTTAAAAAGTACTGCTAGGCAACATTATTTCATTAAATGCAGGGGTGTAAAAAAGCAATATTGCTAAATTAATATATTTTTATACTAGTTTAAATATGTTATTGTTGTTGTTTAGTCATTAAGTTGTGTCTGATTCTTTTGTGACCCCATGGACTGTAATCCACCAGCCTCCTCTGTCCATGAGATTTCCCAGGCAAGAACACTGGCGTGGGTTGCCATTTTCTTCTCCAAAGGATTTTCCCGACCCAGGCACCAATCTGCATCTTCTGCACTGGCAGGTGGATTCTTTACTATTGAGCCACGAGGAAAGTCCAGTTAAAATATGTACATATAATCAAATTGATAAATTAAATAGTGTAACTATATGTTTAATTGTTCCATGAGCATCCCAAACAGTCTCTTGTCTCCCAAAACATCTTCTTTTGTGTTATATCATTGGGAAAATGAGAGGTTTCATTAAAACTGGAATCTTTTTATATTTGGGCACATATGTCTGAAATATTTATTTACAAATACTTGTAATCAATTACTGCTATGAGCACAAAGATGTTGTTAAACATTTGTATATGTATATTACTTAAGTATTTGACTTTTTAACTAATAGAACTTCATTCTGGAAAGAAATATAGATCACTTGATTTAAAATATAGATCACTTGATTTAAAACAACAAATTCCTTTAAACACCACCATGAAGGACTGAAGTAAACACTAGAACTTTCTTTTCATGTATATATAGATGTGTCTTTTCCATCCACAAAGCACTAGGAATTTATGATCAAACCATAAAGCTTAGATGATATTAGAATGACAAAACTTAAATATATTTTTGCTAGAAAAAATGAAATCAAGGGATATCTTTAAGTTTTATTTTCTATTTATACAGTATAAACTAAACTATGTGGATTATACTTGTGACATTTTAAAACAGTTAATTAATCTATAAAATTAACTGTTAATTCTTGAATGACATATTTTTTAAAAGGGTTAAAAATATCAAATTAGAGATTCCTTAGCTATTTCTCAAGTTGTAAAAAAAAGTCCCTTTACAGTCTCATAAAGCAGGATTAAAATTTTTCACAATGGAATACAAACATCTTAGAATAATTAAGTAATCAATAATAGTAATAAGGATTCAAATTATATTATTCTTGCTGTATTGACTGTTTAGAAAACAGAATCCATTTCCAGACATTTAAAGATATCCCTTAATACTAAAAAAAAAAAAAAAAAAAAAGATCTCTGTGACTGGAAGTCTGTTAAACATGAATGATTACACATCAAACACTCAAATCAAAACATAAGTATGGAATCACATTATTGGCTTTAAGTCTAGTCAATATTTAACTCACAATATTTTCATGATACTGTCTTTAAATCTCACATAGCTGTGAGAACTTTAACCCCTCCCTCCCACATGCCTCTATGAAAATGATCGTTAGTGATAACTGTTCTGTCTTTCAGACAGCAAAATAGACACCCTTTATAAATATTAAAGTTCTACAGAAATGCTAGCATTCCTAACCTTTTCTATAGTTAAGTTTATGTGTCGACTCATTAGGCCACAGTACCCCGATGTTTGGTCAAATACCAGTCTGGATATTGCTGTGAAGGTATTTTTAGATGAGATTACATTGCAGTCGGTAGACTTTGAGTAAAGCACATCACCCTGCAAAATGCAGGTGGGCCTCATTCAATCAATAGAAGGCCTTCAGAGTAAAATAAAACAAACAGAAAAAAACTGAGGTTCCCTGAAGAAGAGATTTTCTTCAGACTGCCTTCAGACCTGAGCTACAATGTAACTCTTCCCTGAGTCTCCAGCCTACTGTCCTACCATGCAGATTTCAGACTTGCCAGCTTCAACAATCACTTGAGCCAATTTCTAAATATTACTCTTGTTCTCTCCCTCTCTGTAGATGTTTATGTATTATCTATTTTAGCCAACCAGCTACCTAGAGAGAGAGAGAGAGAGAACACTTGCCTCCTGTCAATGCACTCTAAAATACATTTTGTTCACGTGCTTGTTTAATTGTCTGGCTTCCGCACTGCACTGTATACCCTCTACCTGCAGGGATTTTATCTGTCCGTCCGCTAACTCTCATGCCTTGCGCCAAGAAACTCTCAAAAAGGAATTTGCTGAATTAATTAATTAGATTTTTAACCAATCCTTGATATACTAAAGGTTAAAATAGAGTATTTGATTTTAAATTTAAAGTACATCAAAGAGGGAAAGTACAGAAATGCACAAAATATAGTGAATTTATCTTTTAGGTGAAATGGGCACATTTGTTGAACTAATTTGACTACACTTCAGTTATTGCATCCGATTTCAAATTATTTCACTATTATCTGCTGCTGCTGCTGCTGCTAAGTCACTTCAGTCGTGTCCGACTCTGTGCGACCCCATAGACATCAGCCCACCAGGCTCCCCCATCCCTGGGATTCTCCAAGCAAGAACACTGGAGTGGGTTGCCATTTTCTTCTCCATTGCATGAAAGTGAAAAGTGAAAGTGAAGTCAGTCGCTCAGTCATGTCCAACTCTTAGCGACCCCATGCACCGCAGCCTACCAGGCTCCTCCATCCGTGGGATTTTCCAGGCAAGAGGAGTGGAGTGGGGTGCCATTGCCTTCTCCGTCACTACTATTACATACATACGTCACATGATACATCACTACGATACGTGACTATGATACGTCACTATGTGTCACATACATACATAAGGAATAAAGATATTAAGACAATGTTGAATATTTAGGATGTAAATATAGGTATTTATATCCTATATAATTTATCTAAAGCAATAGATCCATATTTTCATTACAGTTCCTGAACTAATTTTCTCCCAGTGCTTATAACAGTGGACAACTGCTTAGACATTCAGTATATGTTTTTAGTTGTTTGCTAGAATTATGAAATGTAATGTGATTTTGTTCTCTAAAAACACTTAATCAAAACCTATCACCCAATTAGAAAGCCCAGTTAAGTCCAACTCAATGTGTAAATACAGCTTCTTAATTTCAGTTTATTTGAGAAACATGGAGCAACTTAAATTTATTATTGAGAAATATCATTACAATTCTTAGTTTTAAACTTAATTCATGAGAATAAAATAAAAAAAGCTTTCCAAAGTTACGTAGTATCTTCTAAATATTTTAATTAAAGTTAATAAAAATAACACATCCTATTGCCAGGAGTGAAGAAAAAAATATTCAATCTATACAAAAGGCATCTAAAAGAGAACAAAGGCATGTGGTATCTGGAGAGAAATTAATTGTTAGGAGAAGATGTAAAACTGTTTTTGAAACAGAATTAGAACTGTTTATTTTATTAAAAAGTTGACATAGGTTATCTTTAGTGTTTATGACTTGCAAACTAAAGTATTTAATATTTAACATGTTCAAATACAAGCAGCAGCAGTTTGGTAATCAAAAGGAATAATTTGAATCATCTCAGAAAAATAAATTCATTATAATTAGGATATTTTAGAATATGATTCAAACATTTAAAAGAAAATGTATTCACCTTTCTTGTCATCAAAGTACAGAGTCTGTTGAGCTGGATTTGACCACTGGAGGGAGGTGTTATCATTTTGATCAACCCTGCAGGTCAAAATTGCAGTTCCGCCTTCAACAACCGTTACATTCTGCGTGAGTGGAAACTGCCCTTGGCTGCCTAAAAAGGGATTAAAGAAAGGTTGATTAAATGAAACTTATAACATGATTAACTTTCCAAGAGTTACATAGACTTAACTTCTCACTCCAAGTAAAATTTAAACCAACCAAACAACAACAGCAAAACTATACATTAGAAAAAAGGCAAAGATAATTGAAAACCTTTAACTAGAGGACAACATTGTGATACACTATTAGGACTTCTTTATATTCCTTCATATGCTCCAGAAAACCTTCTTCTCCTCCTAAGCACACATAAAGATGTATATTTAAATAGTAATGTGATTATCATTAATTTTCTTTGGCCTTGCATTAATTATATGGTGCTAGACCTGGCTATCTTTGAAGATAATAATTCTGGATGAATATAACTCTTTAAAGTAGCAGAAGAAATACATTAAATACTTTCCTTGTAGCTTTTATAATTCTGAATAAAGTATATAAAATATGGATATTAGATTGTTAGATTCAATTTCTGATAGAAAAAACTTAAAGAATCCTCTTAAAAAAGGCTTTCTTGTAGACACAACTGTTTTTAGAAATACAAAATGTGTTGGGGAAAACAATGTAAGCATTCTTCAAAAAGTGTTCATCTTATAAAACATCCATCAAAATCTTAAAGTAATTACTCTAGCCCAGGAGATAGACATAATATTCTTTTTTGTTTCTTTCTGTAGTTTTCTGATTTTTTTTTCCCAATGAATATATATCCCTTTTGCAATTAAGGAAAAAATATCTGTAAATGATCATTGGCAATTTGGATAGTATTAGAATGTATTCAAGTTTTCTATCTTCCTAAGTGTCATACTAATTTATTATTTATTATTAATTCATGTAATAACATTTCTTAGTAAAAGTCACTTCTAATAGTTAAAATTCATGCACATAGAAACATAATATATAAATTTCACTTCAGCAAGATGATCTGGAGATGAACACTGCCACGTCTGGAAACAGTTAACGACATGGGTTAAAAAATGACTTTCTAAAGCCAGGTTAAAATACTACTATGTGAGCAGGGTAGTTCATTAAGTCAAGGATAATTTACATATGCAAGAATATTATGATAACTTAATAGCACCCAGGAAATATATTTTCCTTTTCTTCTTTAGTTGTGTAATGATTCTGTCATTGCTACAAGCACCATTTGAGGTTATACTGGAGCTACTGGCATAAAAGTTCTTATTACCAAGAAGCCTGTCGATTGGCACTGTAAGAGAGAGAAGAGCCTGAAGGGGAAAATTTCTTTCCAGACCTAAATGACACAAGCACAGAAGTTCATGACCACATTATATAATTAAGCCTATCAAGTATAAAAATCTGCTATCAGTAGCTTTGTCTCCTCAATGCCAACCTCTTTGAGTCACTATGGCAACTCCCCAGGATATCTCCCTGTAATCTTTAGGGTGGAGTTTTTAAATTGAGGTTAGGCAATGTCTGGAATAAATTCTTTGATAGTTGACTTGAAAGTCAACAGGAGCCAGAATGGGATGTGTTTTGCCTTCAGCTCAGAGGTGACCTCTAGCAGGGAAACATGAAGAACTATCAATCTTGTGAAGTGAGGTGAGGTGAAAAACCGCATCAGAGAAAACATGAGCTAAAAGAGAAGGAAGGAGTAATTACCAAACATATCAGATTAGCAGCTCGTAAATATGAAGTTCAAATTGTTTTTAAGATACTTTGCTCAGGTGCCCAGCTATTGACATAATGCATAACTGAGCAGTCTAGGGGAGGAGGAGATCCTTTGAGTAATAAAAAGCACACAACTGTTAATAAATATACATAGTTCATCCCAGATGACGATTTGACTATCAACTGGTACATAAATAATACTGTCTGCTTCTTCAAACAAGTGGGAAAAGAGCAGTGATGCTTGCAACAATTTCATCCACTACATTTGCAAAATAATTTTCAAAACATCCCCATAAGAAAATATTATCCTTCTCATTTCACAGATGGGTAAACTGACACTGGGAGGTTAAGTGATTTTTTTCCACGGTGAAATGGAGTCAATGAACCATTTGGGGTTTGTTCTGAAAGTTCAATGTTTTATTCTTATTTTTCCACAAAGGCTGCTGGGTCATATCACTATTTGTTTAAATAGTTAATAGATAACAGTGGAAAAAAAGAAAAAGAAAAGAGTATTCTTTCAGAAAAAAAAAAAAAAACACTTGAATTCATACCTAGCTGAATTACATATTCAAATCAAATAAGGGAGGATGTCAATATTAATTTCCTCTCAATATCCTATCTTATTTAGAAATTATTATTTGATAATTATTTCAGTCTTTTCTTACCCACCCATAGAAGAAAGAAACTAATATTTGTCAGGGGGTTCTACATGAGAGGGGCTATGCAGACTCTAGCACACCTATACCTTATCTTTCCAAGTATGCCATCAGGATGGCTCCTCTCCATCTTCTCCTCACATGGGTTCAGACTTTAAAGTACTATGACTTCAGTTCACTGGAATCTTGCATCCTAAAATCCCTAAAGTCAAATAATTTAGTTTCTCCCAATAAAGAGCAAACTCATGTTGAGAATTTACTAATCCTAAAAACCCTTAGGATATATGGTTTCCAAAATCAATTCAAAAACCAATGTTGTAGGCAGTCAAACTTCTCAAAGATTTATACTGCCTTTTATTTCTGTTTATAACCTGGAGACTCCATCAAGTTTGCTGCTACTTTTCTCTTTTAATCCCCTCCTTCCTTAAAGTTCACAGGTTGTCATTTAATTCAATCTCAGAGAGCCTTTCTAAAGACATTACTAATTGTCCCATTTGGAAAAATTAATGTGTTACCAGCCTAAATGTACATCCTCAATGTATTTTTCAAAATACTTTGGCCACCTGATGCAAAGAGCAGACTCACTGGAAAAGACCCTGACTCTTGAAAAGATAGAGGACAAGAGGGGAAAGGGGTGACAGAGGATGAGATGGTTCAGTTCAATTCTGTTCAGTCACTCAGTTGTGTCCCACTCTTTGTTACCCCATGGACTGTAGCACGCCAGGCCTCCCTGTTCATCACCAACTCCTGGAGTTTACTCAAACTCATGTCCATTGAGTCAGTGTTGCCATCCAACCATCTCATTCTCTGCCATCCCCTTCTCCTCTCACCTTCAATCTTTCCCAACATCTGGGTCTTTTCAAATGAGTCAGTTCTCTGCATCAGATAGCCAAAGCATTGGAGTTTCAGCTTCAGCATCAGTTTTTCCAATGAATATTCAGGACTGATTTGCTTTAGGATGGTCTGGTTGGATCTCCTTGCAGTCCAAGGGACTCTCAAGAGTCTTCTCCAACACCACAGTTCAAAAGCATGAATTCTTCAGTGCTCAGCTGTCTTCAATTCTTCAGTGCTCAGCTGTCTTTATAGTCCAACTCTCACATCCATACATGACCACTGGAAAAACCATAGCTATGACAAGATGGACCTTTGTTGGCAAAGAAATGTCTCTGCTTCTTAATAAGTTGTCTAGGTTGGTCATAGATTTTCTTCAAAGAAGCAAGCATCTTTTAATTTCATGGCTGCAGTTACCATCTGCAGGGATTTTGGAGCCCCCCAAAATAAAGTCAATTACTGTTTCCACTGTTTCCCCATCTATTTGCCATGAAGTGATGGGACCGGATGCCACGATCTTCGTTTTCTGAATGTTGAGCTTTGAGCCAACTTTTTCACTCTCATCTTTCACTTTCATCAAGAGACTCTTTAGTTCTTCTTCACTTTCTGCCATAATGGTGGTGTCATCTGCATATCTGAGGTTATTGATATTTCTCCCAGCAATCTTGATTCCAGCTTGTGCTTCATCTAGCCCAGTGTTTCTCATGGTGTACTCTCAGTTCAGTTCAGTTCATTCGCTCAGTCATGTCCAACTCTTTGCAATCCCATGAATTGCAGCATGCCAGGCCTCCCTGTCCATCACCAACTCCAGGAGTTTACTCAAACATGTCCATTGAGTTGGTGATGCGATCCAACCATCTCATCCTCTGTCATCCCCTTCTCCTCCTGCCCCCAATCCTTCCCAGCATCAGGGTCTTTTCCAATGAGTCAACTCTTCCCATGAATTGGCCAAAATACTGGAGTTTCAGCTTCAGCATCAGTCCTTCCAATGAAAATCCAGGACTGATCTCCTTTAGGATGGACTGGTTGAATCTCCTTGCAGTCCAAGGGACTCTCAAGAGTCCTCTCCAACACCACAGTTCAAAAGCATCATTTTTTCAGTGCTCAGCTTTCTTGACAGTCCCACTCTCACATCCATACATGACCACTGGAAAAACTATAGCCTTGACCAGACAGACCTTTGTTGGCAAAGTAATGTCTCTGCTTTTTAATATGCTATCTAGGTTGGTCATAACTTTCCTTCCAAGGAGTAAGCGTCTTTTAATTTCATGGGTGCAACCACCATCTGCAGTGGTATTAGAACCCAAGAAAATAAAGTCTGACACTATTTCCACTGTCTCCCCATCTATTTGCCATGAAGTGATGGGACCAGATGCCATGATCTGAGTTTTCTGAATGTTAAGCTTTAAGTCAACTTTTTCACTCTCCTCTTTCACTTTCATCAAGAGGCTTTTTAGTTCCTCGTCACTTTCTGCCATAAGGGTGGTGTCATCTGCATATCTGAGATTATTGACATTTCTCCCAGCAATCTTGATTACAGCTTGTGCTTCATCTAGCTCAGCGTTTCTCATGATGTACTCTGCATATAAGTTAAATAAGCAGGGTGACAATATATAGCCTTGATGTACTTCTTTTCCTATTTGGAACCAGTCTGTTGTTCCATGTCCAGTTCTAACTGTTGCTTCCTGACCTGCATACAGGTTTCTCAAGGGGCAGGTCAGGTGGTCTGGTATTCCCATCTCCTTCAGAATTTTCCACAGTTTATTGTGATCCACACAGGCTTTGGTGTAATCAATAAAGCAGAAATAGATGCTTTTCTGGAATTCTCTTGCTTTTTTGATGATCCCAGCGGATGTTGGCAATTTGATCTCTGGTTCCTCTG